ATGACAACATCAACAGTATCGCGAGTTTCATTAAAACAGGGATGCCGAACACATTTCGCTCGCTTTTTTTCTATACGCCATGTGTGGGACCTGAAACAACCATGCTCGCTGCAGCAAATAATCATTATTATAAGACCTACTTCAGTTTGGGAACCCTGTGCTACTTTCCCGCCAAACAAGTACCTCAATCAAGAAGACAACTAAAGTGACCTTTGGTCACGGGGAGCCCAATTTAGATTAAAGTGAATGGTGAAAATAAAATCGGAAAAAATAGATAATTTATTACTTTTTAAATTCGAGGTCAGAAGATAATGTCCTCCGTGGGGTGGCTGGTGGTGGGTCGTGTACACGTTACAAAAATCCTGTGCGGGAGAGTTTTAAGGTCGACAATTTTCTGCAAGGTGAAAATTTTTCTGCACGAAAATTTCGCTCATAGAAATCTTGGAGGAAGAGCCAAAAGTGTTTTAAATAAATAAATCCCCCATCTTAGGGATCATTATGATCAAGTTTTTTGTGGAGTCCGAGGTTTAAAAGACGATGAAATCGTGGTTTAAAGTGAGTTGTTTGTTCAAATATGGCGACTGTAGTTTCCTCCCTTGTCAGAGTATATATACATAGATCGACATCAAATACCATAGGGAATCATATAGGAAAACACTGAATAAGGCGCGCGAAAAAAATGTTCTAGTGCATTTTTTATCGATTTTTTTTTACTCTTTCGCATTACGGAGGACATTATCTTGATCTCGAATTTTAAAAAAAATTATTTAATTTTTCCGATTTTATTTTCACCATTCACTTTAATCTAAATTGGGCTCCCTGTGGCTCTACAAGGGTAAAGCCCACGACATTGATGGACCTTTTTTGTTAATGTTAATATGTGAGGGACCACTGTAATTGGCACATCCTGTAGTGGATTCCCAGCCATTATGTATGTATGTAACTATTCTCGTGTGTGTGTGTGTGTGAGAGAGAGTGGGTCCATGTGTGAGTGTTTGAATGGCGAAGCTAAATAAATAAATATAAATAAAACTGTCTGCATCAAATGTAGCAAGGGAAAGCTCATTAGTAAGAGAAATTTCATGCTGTAATTAAGTTAATATTCAATAATTAAATGTCATTTTATTTAATGGAAAACTGTGACGGTATCCCTTACCTCTCATCTGCTTGTAATTTGTTTCTATTTTTTCATTTTTTTAAAACTATGATTTAATGAGGAAAAAGCTAGATAAATAAGTATTTCCAAGATGGCGTCCATTTCGTCCCCAAAACGCACACTCGACCCAGTATTTCCCTTAACCTCGAAATGGATAATGATTTCAGAAAGCTTGACATTTTATTAGATTTTTGTTAATTTATTTTTTTTTCATCCATATTTTAGATCGTTTAACTTTGATTTTTATTTAGTAGTAACATCTTGATTTAAGTGTTCATACTGGTCTCATTTTCAGATGCGTAGTCTGGCCTTTTATTTACTTTAATGATTTCATATTTATTTCAAAGAAGGTGACTGGGCTATCAGTACAATGTTTATCAGATTCATTGTAACTGTTGTTAGCCCCATGCCTCTTTATTTAAGTTATAAACTGGTCACGTATAACGTTACCATAGCACCGATTCGTCAAAAGGATTGGTCAATTAATTTTTTWAAAAATAAAAATTAAAGTCTAGCTTTTCACAGTGAATTAGAAGTTTTCGAATGACAGAAAATTAAAGGATACTACAGAAACTAAAAATTTTCGATTTTGGTGAACACCAAACTTGTTTGTATTTTGTCAATGTCTTTAGCTTTGTATGATAAAACATCTCTAAAACTACGAAAACCTGTTATTAGAGTACAGTTTTGGAGTTTCGCGTCAAAAAGATAACGCGTGCGACAAACCTTTTGCTGGAAACCATCAAAGTAAAAATTCTTCGAGTTGTGGCATTGCACATGCTCGCGCGGCGCGCGCCATAAAACTCACGAGATTTTTAAAGAATTGAGTCTCTTCCCAGGTTTGAAAGTTTGAAGTCCTCATCGTAAACTTGCATAAAAAACCTTCAAATATTATGTCAATACCCTCCGGAATAATGGATAAAGTTTAAATGGGCTGGTTAAAGTTCAGGGCATGGCTAACTCGCTAACTGAATTGGAATTTATCGTTAGGATTTGAGAAAAGAATGGTGTCACTATCCATTCATTCCTCTCTCAGACTCGCCATTTCTGATGTTTGCGGTTCTTTACATTGGAAAGACCCTTCTCCATAGAAAGGAATGTCCACAAGCTACTCCCAAACACAAGACACCAAGAATTTGCACGGCTCTTCTTGAGACTTCGCTGTGAAGTTATCTAATCCAAAGTCGATGAAATATTTCAATGTTGTATTCTCCATGTGGGAAGATTTTTAAATGGCAATTATACTCAATCACAATGAGAAACTGGAGTACTGTACCTTCTTCCGTTAAAACAATTTCACTTTTGTAATAAATGTTATGCATTCATCTGAAAATTGTTCGAATTAGTTTGTCCTTTATGCTTATGTAGTTTGCACTCTAAATGCTATTTGATATACTAACAATATGTAAAATTACGACAAAAGTCTACGGTTGTATAAATTTCAAGTTCAATCCTTCGAAGTCCAATCTTCAATGTCATCGAATAAACTATTTAAAAAAAACAACATTCAAACCACTTCAGAGATTCTAAAACTAAAAATTTCCAATGTCAGTGGATTTTTCCATTGCAGGCTGTGGCATTTCTCCAGAACAATATTTGCTAAGCGCCAAGTCTCCAATAAATGGTAGGCTCGGCGTCAGTAGCTTACTGCTCTCCAAATCAAGAGTAAAATTCATGTCTGTTTCCCAGTAATTTTCTGCGGCTTCTGATGGACTTTCATCCTCCGTTGATTCTTTCTCTGAGTTGTCTTTATCAGAGGAAAGAACTGCCATACGATGACGCAGAACTTTGACTTCGTTCATCAGAATCATTTGCTGTAGGTGTGACGCTGAGTTTTCGCCCATTCCAATACTAACGTGAACAGTGGGTAACCATCGAAGATAGCAGCCCGACCAAAACTTCATTGCAGGAGCAGTACAGTTAACTCCTTCGTACAGCTCTTTAGCCTCCGTCCCTCTGTTTTGTTCAAACCTTTTTTTACAATCTTCGAACTCATACAGTGGGTTTAGAAATGCTGAGGTTATCTTGGGGTTTGCTAGCTGGTCTGCTAAAAAGTCCCACAGCGATGCCATGGAGGCACCATCGAGTTCCGCCTTAGAAAGACTATAGCGTTGCTCTTCACAGTCAAAAAGGAAGGTATCAAACATACACGCATGCATGCTGTCAAAAAGACCAAGCAAGTACGACTCCGAAAACTCGAATTCCGAGGGAAACTGTATCATGAGCTGGTAGACACAGTCAAGGAAATGAAGAAAGACGGGCGACTCCTGGTTATCCTCTTTTTCACTTTCCTGTTTGGGTTGTTTTTTAATATGTCCACATCGTTTATTAAAAGGATGCCCTCCAAGGACCCACATCTTCTGTAGTAATGTTTGGAATCCTCTGATGGTGCGGTAGTAGTTATCTAGAATTAACTGTGCCAGGGAAGCCACCACGAGAACCATATCTCTCCCATTCATCTCCTTGACGATGACTGGACGACCATCATCACACACAGCTTTTGCCACTTCTACAGCAGAAACTATAGATGCTCGGATGTAAGAAAGCCACCTTGAAAAAAGGAAAAAACATCAGTACTAAAGAATATAGATATTTTAAACGAAATAAAACCTAACAATCATATATAAACAAAACAAACAAATAAATAAACAAACAAACAAACAAATGAATAATAACAAAATAAAACAAAAAACAAAAGCTAGGGTTCACATATAGTGATTACCAATAGTGTACTTTTAAATGACATCTTCCTAACCACTACTTTAGTGCTCTTACTAACTTTTATGATGTAAATCGATTTAACATCTGGAAATCTATATGCCTTAAATGCTGCTCTTCTCGTAACCTATTAACTTCTTATGCTTGCTGTTACTGAGTGATTTAATATCATTAATATTTTATATTATCATTATTTAGATCACATTACGTCTGCAGATATAAATTTATTATATTTATACATTGTTATTATATATTATATTCCATATTGTACTTTTTATTATTTGTTATTTTTAATTGATGTTAATTTATAGGAGACACTTTGTTTGGAGCCCAGCTCTGTTGTGTTTTCCTCATCCAAACATTTTCTTTTCTTTTCCCAACTTTTTAGTATACTTTGTAATAGCTATTTTAGGGTGAAAGTTTATTAAATAAATAAATAAATGAATGAATCAGTGAATAATAACAAAATAAAACCAAAAAACAAAAGCTTGGTTCACATATAGTGATTGCCAATAGTGTACTGTCGAACGCCGAAAGGAATAGAACTGGAAAGTTTTCACATATTTATTGACCGCGTATATTTGGCTGCCCTCCGAAATCTTCTCGAAGTATAGTAAAGGCGAGATTACACGGAGCAATTTTTTGCAAGACAAGTTGCAGAGAAAATTGCAAAGTGTAATCACCCTTATGGCCTGATTTTTTAATGCATACTAAAAGGGTTGGGCTAACTTGTAACTTGCAGGATTTAGGGGGTGGGCTATGGGTAAT